GTTATACCTTTGTGAACACCATGGGGAAGGGGGGGGGGGGGATTATTTATCAAAAGTGGAGCAGACAGAATTTGGAGCGGTTGGCCATAGCAACCAATCAGCTTCGCTCTCTCATTTTCAAAGCTTAACTGAACTAAAAGGGAGAAACTGATTGGTTGCTATGTGCAACCGCACCTGATTCTGTCTGCTCCAGTTTTGATAAACTCCCAAAGCCCATTTCACCGCCCCAATCACTGGCCTCAGTTAATGAATTTCCCTTTACCATTTTGTGTCTTTGTTTTGTATAACATTGTATTATTATCTCCTTGCAGTAAGTGACATGCTGACATAAAATGGTGTTCCATGACAAAGCTGCACATGATGGATCACAATGAAGTTTACTGCCGCTCCCCTTTAGATATCTGCTGATCATTATGTCTATACCGGCAGCCTACAGCTATCTCAATGCTCTCCTGCTCACGTGATCGGCTCTTCGATGGACGTTTTTCTCTTATTACAGCACTGGGACCTTCCATGCGATTATAGAAGGAACCGTCCGCTTTCACTGACAGGGTTAGTGCAATGGCCTGTCCCAGAATCTACAGCACAGAAGCAGGTAAGAATACTCCACTTGGCTTTAGAACAGGGGTAGGCAACCTTGGCACCCCAGCTATGGTGAAACTACAAGTCCCATGAGGCATTGCAAGGCTGACAGCCACAGGCATGACTCCCAGAAGCAAAAGCATGATGGGATTTGTAGTGTCTCCACAGCTGGAGTGCCGAGGTTGCCTAATCCAGATTTATAGGAGTATAAATCTAGCTATTGATATTCACAGACAGTAAAAGAAAACAAGAGGTAGCGTGCACTTCAACAGGACTACTTTTTCTCAGCGATGGATGGATGTGCCTGGGTTGCCCATAGCAACCAGATTCTCGCTTTCATTTTCAAAGCTGCACCAAGAAAATAAGAGACGTGGTTGCCGTGTGCACCTTACCTTCAGGTATACTAAATATCTAAGGGTTAAATACTGAAACCTGCATGCCACTGGAGATATCGAGGCTCTCATTGCTACATATACAAATGTAAGCTGTCTGGGTGACATGCCGAACCTCCGGCTCCATCACCAAGCCCAACCTCCGGCTCCATCACCAAGCCCAACCTCCGGCTCCATCACCAAGCCCAACCGAGCGACAGCTTGGAGTCTGCTGGCATCACATCCAAGATGGTGACTCGCATGCATGAAATATACTTAATGTACGCGCAGTCTTATTGGAAGTCTGGTGAAGGATGGTCTGACAACAGGGTCTCTTTAATGAGTAAATATGGCTGCCAGTATTTGTAAATAAATCAGAACCTCTGAGGATTAAAATATAGGGAAGCCGCCTCTGCCGATCTACGAGAAGGTGCATACAAAGCTCTACCTGGCGGACATCTTCATGTAGTCTTACTGTTCTGTGATATAGGATGTGAAGCATCAGTTACTTAGAACATGAGGATTAAAGTAAACGTAGATTGAATATACAAGCTCGCTCTCACAGAGGAGGAAGGGAAGAGGCATACACTCCCTTATCAGATGTAACATGCAGGTCACATGGCACTAGGTTTATGTGACCCGTAGCTGCTCTGCACTGAGCGCTCCCAACATCAGCAGTCTCCATTCGCTCTGACTGAATACTCTACGGACATCGGTACCCCACCATTGTCACTTCCGGAGCAGAACGAAAAGCACTGCACGACCTGCCATCCCCACTTCAGGTCACGTGACCAGAAAGAAAAACAGTGCACGACCTGCTGTCTGCAACTCCTGCTGAGTATTTACCGCTATCCATGAATCCGCCAGAGACACTCACTTCCTGTCCCGATGACAACCAGTTTACCAAAACAGGAAGTGAAGCAAACTCTGCAAAAGGGACCCCAACAGGGGGAATACACCAGAATTTACGCTGCACGATGATCATACAGTTCACGCTGAGAGATGAACGCAGCATATAGAGTCCAGCGCATCTGGATACAACTTCCAAGGGGGGCGGGGGGGGGGGGGGGGGGGGGCTTTTCTGTCA